CTGTTAAAGTGGCCACAGTTGTCTGATGTAATCAATATATTATAATCGATTACATATTGTTTTTTATGGTTATGTAAAAATACCTTGTGATTCTTATGGTCCTTTATTCTATGAACATCTCCTTAGAAACGAGAATTTTCAATGTGTTATTTCTTTTTGAATATATAGCTTTATATGAAAGAGAATGTTGTGTTCTCTTGCACTTCTTCTACCTCAGGAGAATGTGTTGGGGGGCAGGTTGCAGATGCATCTGCTGAGGGAGCAAGCCCTCTCCAAATCCAGAATAACTAGACATTGCAATATGACATAGCATACTGCAGATGGGTTAGTGTTATTGTCTTGCGTGCAGATAAGTGTGGTGGAAAATGTTTCTTCATTGTGTTTTATAGCTTGCCAGTAGCAGCTAGACTCTTTATTTATTTATTTATTTATTTATTTATTTTTTATTATTTATTTATTTATATTTTTGGCTGGGGGTGGTACTATACAACTAACTTTTATAAGTATTGCTTTTGTATTTCCTATAGCTTCATCCGATTTATATCAGCTTATGTTTTTGGATGTCCTTTTATAACTGGTTTTGCTCTTTGATTCCTGAATTCTACCATATTTTCCAAAACATTGTATATGGCATGTTAATCTGACTCCTATGTTACATCCAGAAGGCCATGCCATTTGATTTGCTTTTTAACAGGTGGTAATAAATATTTTTGAGCCTCTGAACAATTTGGGCAGGCCTATTGATGGTTAATGAGAAATTTGTGAAACACTAGGTAAGGTTAATTAATGTCAGTACAAATTGTTTTCTTTTTTCTTTCTTCTTGTTTTGTTTTTGCTTTTTTAAAATTATAATCCTGCCTAATGAGGAGGGACTAATTAACATGTTAGAGTATGTTTATTTTTGATAAATGTGCAAACCTGTTCTAAGACAATTCAGTAGTAATGACATTTCTATTTCCAGAATAATACTTTTTGATAATCTTTTCATACTTTGCATCTGGTTTTGCTTTCCTTATACCAAAGAGACTATTTAAGCTGTCAGTGAAATATCTACAATACTTACTTATATTGTTTTATTTTTGTAACAGTATAATTGAGATATAATTCACATACCATACATTTAAAGTGGGCAATTCAATGGCTTTTAGTATATTCAGAGCTCTGCATCATCACCATACACAATATAGTGTATTTTAATCACCTCAAAAGAAACCCCCATACCTTTTAGCAGCCACTCTCTACTCCTCAGTTTCAGGCAAATACCAATTCAATTTCTCTTTCGCTAGATTTGCACATTCTGGACATTTCTTCTATATAGAACCATACAAGACATAGCCTTTGTCATGGCTTGCTTCACCTACCACAAAGTTTTTAAGATTCATTTATGTTACAACATGTAACAATGCTTCATTCCATTTTATTTCCAAATAATACTCCATTGTATGAAGAGAGCACATTGTATACCTCCATTCATCAGCTGATGGACATTTCGGTTTCCACTACTTTTTTGGCTATTATGAATACAGGTGCTATGAACATTCATACATTTTTGTGTGAATGTATGTTTTCATTCTCATGTGTACGTACCTATGAGTGGAACTACTGGATTATATGGTAACTCTATCCTTAACTTTATGAGGAGCTTCTAGATTGTTTCATGAGGCAGCTGCACCATTTTACATTTCCACCAGCAGTATATGAGTACTAGAATTTCTCCACATCTTTGATAATACTATTTATTATTTATCTTTTATCTTTTAGCCATCCTAATGATTATAAAGTGGTATCTTACTGTGATTTGAATTTGCATTCCCTTATGGCTAATGATGAACATCGTTATATGTATTTTTCTTGGACATTTACATACCTTCTTTGGAAAAAAATGTCTATTCAGATACTTTCCACTTTTAAAATATTGTGTTGCCTTTTTTTTATTGAGTTGCAATTCTCCTTTATGTATGCTAGATACCTTATCAGATATGATATTTATAAAAATTGTCTCCCATTCTGTTGATTGTCTTTTAAGTCTCCTGATGGTGCCTTTTTAAAGACACACAATTTTAATTTTGATGAAGTCCAATGTATCTATACCTTTTTTGTCTTACTTGTCCTTTTGGTGTCATACCTAAGAATTCATTGCCAAATCCAAGGTCAATGAATGATTATACCTGTGTTTTATTTTAAGAGTTTTATAAGTTTGGCTCATACATACATGTCTTTGAACTATTTGAGTTATTTTTTGTATATAGTGTGAAGTAAGTATACCAGTTGTTCCAGTACTGTTTGTTGAAAATACTATTTTATCCCAAGAAATTTTTATCTTAAGGTAAAGATAACCAACTATCAGGGATTCAGGTAACAATTATTATATCCATTTTATTCAACAAGCATTGGTGAATCACTTACTTTATCTATTTGGTCTTGGACTTTATGCTATGAAACACTGAAGTCATTCTTCTCAGGCAATTACAACTCAATTAGTTGCTGTATGAATTATTAGGGCTAAATAAAATAACATTCCCTACACCACCCACTATAAGTTTCACCTGCCTTTTCTCTCCCTCTCCTTTGTGTGTGTGTGTGTGTGTGTGTGTGTGCGTTCGCACATGCACATGTGTGTCTATGTGTGTGCATGACACGAATTAAAGACATTGATGTATACAGATATTATTTAATTATACAGCAATATCCTCAATTCCAACACCTAAAATTATTCATATAATTTTTCTTTTCTCTTCCTAATAACTTGAGAAATTTGTTTCACCCAAATGTGAATAAAAAGCTTTTTGGTATTCATTGGTTTTTTAATTTGATCTTTTCTCTTTCTATTCTGGTTTCTTAAGTTCCTCCTTTCTTATTTCTTATCAAGTTATTTTTACAAAGAGATAGGTAGAGAATATCCTCTATTTTCTGTGCCCTTCTAAGAAAAAAAAAGCTTTAGCATTCACAAAAGCTACTCAAACTGTCAAGTATAGTTAGTTTTGTGAGATTATGAATACTGAAACTGACCTCTGCAATATTTATTCTATCTGGTTCCATATCAATGAGCTGATTAGGACAGGTGTGATACTTGACATTGTAAGCACAAGGCTGAGTTTGCTATAGGCATATTGTCTCATTTTTCACATCATCTTCAAGGTATTCTGGTTCTATGGAAATAGTAGCAATTACAAAGATAAGGATGGATAAGAACAGTACCAGCACACTTGTGTAAACTTCCCCTTGTACTAATAACCGTGTATTTAAAATCCCATCTTCGACTCTCACAGATTGTCTTGGTCAATGCCTACAGTTGTTATGGAAGTATCTTTGTGATTTCCTGGAAACTATAAAAGGCTTTGCCTACATCAGCAGCTGCTGGTCATATGGCATATCTGCCTCTAACGGCAGCTTTCCTGAATACAGAGGCAATCCCCACTGGAGATCTAAAATGTTAAATCAATTTCTTTTCAAAATCTAAACCAAAGTAACTGATGTTTGATGTTGCTGTTAAGAATTTTTAATTTTTGCAAAGCTCCTGGGAATTCTTCGAGAAAGCCACTCAGAATATAAGTGCATTCTATTGTCTGTATTACATTAAGTCAAACTCTCTACATTCATTTACCTTAAAGAGAAAGATGCCTTCTTAATAATATATGCATCCTTCATTCCTTAGCAAATATGTGCTTTGAGATAAAATTTGCCCATATCACAGAACGGTTTCTGGTCAACTCATAGGGAAATAAAAACTGTATGAACACTATCGGCAATGCTACTCTCCTACCTGGGAAGTCAACTCAATTTTGCCTATCATGAAGGTAAGGAGTGGACTCTTGTCAAAGCCAAAAAGAAGTACCCTCTTGTTCTGTATTCCTTTTTCTGTAGTCTTTTGTGAAGGTTTGGGAGAACCACACACATAGAGCACACAGAGAGTGAGAGTTTCAATCACAGTGGCAGGATGCTTGCACACCCCTCACTAGTGAAACCACAGACAGGAAAGGAAAACCAGCAGAAACATTCTGTGGGACGTATGTAAAGAGTGATTCTGGCATTTAGAGAAAACAAAATCTGCTGGAAATTTGGCGAAGGATAGTTCTCTTGAACCGGCTTTAATGCAGTGTTGAGTATTCTTCCATCCTCTGCAGCTACAATTGAAAACTAGGTTCTCTATCCATCTAAGCATGCATTAGAAAAGACCCAAATATGGATTTATGGATACACAGCAAGCCCTGAGCTTGATGATTCTGAGAGTGAGCTTTGCGGTCAGTACAAGTTTAGCTATAATGAACGGTGGTGTGTGAACATTCATGTCCAACTTTGTATTGTCCAGCAACAGTATTTATAGTATATGAGAACTTGGAATATTCTTTTGATAATCTCTGCATATCTGCAAAATGGCTACCTTAATAATACATACTTCCTAGGGTTGCTTTGAATATTAGATGAGATAATGGGTATATAATACACAGCATCATACCTTGCATAAATTTACTGTTACCGTAAAATAACATCTTTCACTAAAACTGTTGCTGGTGGCAAAAAAATAAAAAAATAAAACAAAACTCATCACAGAATTTTCAGATTTTAAGATAAAATAAAGAAGAAACACAGGTGTTTTGCACATTGAAGATCAGGAAAAACCACTAACATTTTTCTCCCATCCTGCAGGAGTTTGTAAAATCTATAAGATCACTATGTAACCACGTAAAAAGAAAATGTCTGTCACGCAACAATACTTTTGAAAAGTTCAAAAGAAAAAGGTCAAAGAGTGTGCCCGACACAAATGAAATGTTTTCATTTCTAGTTAGTTAATTAGTTATACACTAAACTGTTGTACCCTGCAAAAGCCTTCAAATGCAAAAGGCAAGACGGCACGCTTCCAAAGATGCAGAAAATGGATGATTGGCTTCCTTTAACCAGATTTAAATTGCACCTAGCTTCTGTGAGTCAGGCACATGTATTGATTTAATAATTAAATGCCATATTCTCATTCCCTGTTCTACCCATGCGTTTTTCCTTAGGCAGTGAATATGAATGTTGAAGAATTTGAGAGTCTAGACTTCACTGGGTAGTCAAAGTTGGTAAAAGAAATGTACTGTATGGCATACCAAAACTTCTCTAAGAGCATTTGCACTTCTTGTAATCGAAAATTTAGCAAGACGTGCAATCCTCACTGGATTCCTCAAATGTCACAGACGTTTCTAAAGGACAAAGGTATGTTTGCTTGTTTTTTCACATTGTCTTAGCGGTTGTTGAGGGCTTTCTTAGAGTAATAACATTTCAAAACTTGATATTTAGATCTTATGTTCCCACTCCCTCATTTTAAAGATGAGGAACTTAAACCTGAGGGTTTAAAGAAATCATATGCGTTACACACACATTTGATTCAAAGACTGCCTTTTAGAAAGAAAGAAAACATGGTATTGGTAAAAGATGAAAATCCTTTCAATGTATCTACACATATCTTTTTACACATAACACATGTACTTTTAAATATTAATTTGATTAAAATTATAAAATACATACATATTTTAAATCCCAAAGGAATACATACAATATTATGTTATATGTTGTATATTATACATTATGTATTTATATAATATAGGTATTCTTCCTATATATATGTACACATATATATGGCTAAAACCTGTCTCAAATTTTTTTAGTAACGATAATGTATAATATGCTCAATTTTACTTAAATATTTTCAGAACTTTATATCTGTATAACATTCTATGGGTGTTATGGAATTCATAGCTGAAAAATAAAACAAACATAATTGAATCTACACTTAAAAAACAAACAAAACTAACAACAGAGACACCTCGTTCTATCATCAATCCAGTACGACTCAGACTGAGGCAAAAAGGCCAGATAAAGCATAAACATGATGACATTCTCCCCTTCATCTTCATTTCTATCACTTTTCCCTATGTTCCCCTTCTCCAACAGCTAACAATCCTAACATTACCCAGTTACAGCCACGTGTCACAGGTGAAGATACCTATGTAGGGGAAGAAAGTGTCTACTAGCAGTGTTTGTGCCTCAGCAAAGTGGTCAAAATGACCCATTATATGAATAAATAAAATGTGTAAAATACCTATACACATACATTTTAACCACAAATACTTGGTGTGAGATATATGCTGGTCCCTGCTTCAGAAGAATGATTTAAGTTACTGTGACATCCTTACCTTTTCGAAAGTATTGCCATTGCAGTGAAGTCACTGAGCACAATTCAGGTGAATTGAAAGTCAAATTTGTTTTGAGGAAGGAGCAAGCACAGCCAGAGAACAAAGTGCTGGGTAATTAACAGTACAGCCAAAAAGGAACAAGTAATCTTGAACAGGGGTGGCAACCCATTTTAATAGGAATGGATCTGGATATAGGATCAGGAAACCTGGGGTCAGATCCCAGCTTAGCAACTTATACATGCAACTTCAGAAGAACCATCCAATGCTTAGCCATGAAGTGTGCAAAGCTGACTATAATATGCCTTTCAAATAGGTAGAGACAATAGTGAATGAATCATGGTACTGCTGTGAGTAAAATGATTCAAGGGAAAAAGTAATGGTGATGTAGGAAGATGGAAAAGAATACCACCAACTCTCTTTGGGAGTCAGATATGACTTCACTAAGTGGACAACTGAAAGGGTAAACAGTGGTTTACCAGTTTGGAGACAGAAAGGGAATTTGGGACAAATAGACCTATATGTAAAGACACACTGCAGTGAATGAGTGATAAGAAAAGGAGTGTAAGAAGGTCAGTGGGTGTGCAGGCTACTAGTTATAGCGAAGTGAAGGAAGGATATAGAGTCAGAGACCTGGGAAAAGCTGGATTTTAGAGGGCTTTGCTTGATATGCATTAGTCTTTTGACTCTATCTTATGGGCGTACCAAATCAGTGATAGGTCTTTAATAGAGAGATTACGTGGCTCAAACTTGTAAGTTGAGGATGATAATCTTACCCACAGTACAGAAAGATACTTGTTTAAAATTAGGTGGGAGACCATTTGCGATGGTGTAGGTAAAACACTGAAGGCAGGTGAAAGATTTGACTGACAGGTACCTTGAAATGGGACAGAGAAGACAAATTCCAGAAATAATTTTGGACTAGAATGAAAAGCTCTGATACCCATTTGAAGTTTGAAATGAGGGGTGAGGAGAATGGAAGTCTACGATTAAATGTCTTTTGTTGGTTTTGGTCGGTCAGTCGGTCGGTTGGTTGGGTAGTTAGCTTTTTGCTCTTGCTGTTGCTGTTTTGTTTTGTTTTTTTTTTTAAATTTTTTTTTAAATTTTTTTTTATGTTTTATTTATTTCTAGGAGAGAGAGAGAGAGACAGCATGAGCAGGGGAGGGTCAGAGAGAGAGGGAGTCACAGACTGAAACAGGCTCCAGTCTCTGAGCTGGCAGTCAGCACAGAGCCCGACGCGGGGCTCGAACCCACGAACCGCGAGATCATGACCTAAGCGAAAGTCGGACGCTTAACCGACTAAGCCACCCAGGCGCCCCTGTTTTGTTTTGTTTTGTTTGTTGTTTTTTGTTTCTTTTTAGATTGGAATACTGTGTGAATGGTGATGGCTTTTAAGAAAAATGTCATAAACTGCAGAAGTGAACAAGTTGGTGTTCAATTTATTGATTTATGTTTTGACATACTGAATCTAGTCACCAGAGAGAGGTCTCACAAATAGCTGAAAGTTTAATTTTCGAATTTACAAGAATGGCCAGGGTTAGGATATCAAGTTTTAAAGGCTTCCTGGGTGGCTCAGTTGGTTAAACATCTTACTCTTGGTTTCAGCTCAGGTCACGATCCCAGTTTGTGAGTTTGAGCCCCACATCTGGTTCTGCACTGACAGTGCAACTGTTTAACCAGGAGTTAAAGGATCATTAGAGAAAGAGGATCATCAGTCAGGATTAATTAATAGGAATAACCAGAGAAGTATTAGATTTTGGGAGTTCTCTGTAGGCAAAAGGCCATAAAGGAGAACAGCTTCCAGTAGTCTTTCCAGTAGTACAGGGTTGTCAATAGCGCAAGTATAGCAGAGATTAAGTCAGTTGGAAGCTCTGATTTAGAGATCAAATCAGGTGAAAACTCCAAAGAAATCATGTGGGAGAAAAATGCCCAGAAAACAATCTTGGAGCCAGACAAGAAGTGCATTATACTGGAAATATGTGATTTTATTTGAATAAATAATTATATGTTCTATTATGTTTTGCAAGTCACATGAAACATGATCTCAGTACTGACAGAAGTGTGTTAGGACTAGAATATTAAGTACCATTCAGTGTTTTACTACCATCCTTGGTGCCTTCATATGTGACAGAATTTTCATGCTCATGAGGTATTAAGATTTTATTTTTTTAAATAAACCCAATGGGGGCTCGAATCCACAACCCCGAGATCAAGAGTTGCATCCTTTACTGACTGAGTCAGCCAGGAACTCTGTTATTTTTAATATTAGTGTTAGAATATTAAGCTGTCCTCTAATGTCCATGAAGGACTCAAACATTAGCATTTTGAGTTTTCTCTGCAACAGTGTTTTCCACTGTGGAAGAAGTGAGATTTAAAAATTTAACAAAATACCCCCCAAAAAGTATCTCCATAAAATAGATTAGAAGTGTGCTCATGCATGAGAAAAGGAAGTCAGATTATAAATTCCACGGTGTAAAAACAACTCTGCATTTCTGTGCATTTAGTGTTAAAGGGTTGAACATATGATCTCTCTACCCATACGTATATTCGCTGCTACATATTTAGTGGAAACATATTCAAAATAATTCTCTGCATCTGAAATCTAAAATCCAGTTTGCTTAGGTTTGATCACAAGTGGAAGTTGCTCTATTGTATGTACAAATTGAATCAGAGTATAAAAAACATACCTATATATAGTAAATGCTGAAGCTGCCCATGGCTTTGTTTCCCTCTTATTTTGGAAAACAATATAATAATTCAGGATGGTGGGTTTTTTTTCTCTAATGAATATGTACGTAATACCCCCAACTTACTATGTTGTTTCTGGAGACACACAACCAGAGGAAACGTACCTCTGCCAGTTTGTCTGTGGTTTTCTGGGAAGCTTTGAGGTTTTAACTTTGATCTCTCCCCTCACACACTGAGATTTTCTCCTGACTCCACTAGCCCAGACAGAATCTCTACCCTTGATCTTTAAGGTAATCTTAAACATACTCTTGACACCAGCATCACTCAGTGGTAAAAGTTTCCCTCTTCACTGTGCTATGTTTACTCTTCAGTTTCTGTGGTGTCCTTTGCTCATCTAGACTCAAAAGTGGCTTCTTTAAACTTTCCCACCTGGAAGAGTTTCCCAGCCATTTAGTTCACTTGTTTCCTGCCTTGACTAAAGTATTTCGAGGTTCCATTTTTGTTTCCTCAACTCTTTTAACTCCTTGATACTGAGGAAACTAGACTTTCTCTTTGATCTGTCAAAGAGGTTTTAACAATGTTTGACCACAGGGTGAACTCTGCTTAAAGTGTCTTCATATTTTTATGGAGCTTTCATTCAATGTCCTTTTATACTGGTTGTCTTCTTACCACCCTGCACCTCAGATGTTGAAGTTTTGTTTTGTTTTACTTTTTAACTCCTTCCTGTCAAACCTGAGATCAGAAATTAATCTGCCGTCAGTCACTTCTAGCTTTATATGCCATTCATATGATGTGTTACCTCAACTAAGGGTATTTGCCATTGAGCTCTCTGTTTCACAAGTGGATAAAAAGAGGGGTCTGCTCGACATAAAACACAATAAATTAAAAATGTAATTACTGGCACTTTGGGCAGAGAATGTAAATCCTGTCAGCCTATAAAATCATTGTCATTTTGCCATCGAATAAAAAGAAGCAGGTCATGGACAAGGGAAGGAGATATTTGTTCATCTACTTTGGTGTCAGTCTCTCATGATAAATATGTGGAACATATCACTAATACTTTCATGCACTTTAACCACTACAAAGGACTTTCATAGATATTATCTATTAGTTCCTCACATCAAAAAAAAGTCTGACTTAGCTGTTATCATTTTTTCCTAATTTAATAAATGAACTCAAATTCAGAAAAGTTAAAGTTTCCAAAGGCTCCCAATTAGAGGCAGTTGGATCTGGAACTCTGTCTCAGGTTTGTCTTCTCACATCTTGTTTACTTTCCCTGACATCACAGCTGCCACAGTTATGATTTCCTCATTTCTCAAAACCTACCCTTTTCCC